GGTAGATCAGCAAAATACTTGAGGGCTGGCTCAGGCTGAAGCCTCTAGGCTGCGGCATAGAGGCAGGGATGGGGCCATTGTTCTCAGCATGAGTAGGGGCAGGGGACTAAATGCCCTCAGAATCCACAGATTTCTGCCCATGATGGAAAACTGTGGTTTTCCCAACTGGATCAACATACTTACATCATCTCTTATATCCTCTTTCTTCCTCTTGTCTTTTCTCCCCTTTAATCGATCTTTCCTTCCTCTTTCTCTTACTTCCTGTCACTCTTTCATCTTTTACCCTTTCATAAAAATACTTTGTGCACCTATTGTGTTCCAGGCACTGTGCCTAGGGATCCAATGGATGTACTCTGTCTTGGGTGTAGAGGCAAGAACTTCTCTCTCTTCCCCCCAACCCTGCAAAGATATCAAGATTAGAATCTCTTGTCTGAGGTCCTCCACTGAAAGGGCAAGCTTGCAAGTCAAACATACATAGGTTGGGGTTCCAGCCCCATTACTTACCAGTTGCATTTATATTGAGCAATGTACATAATTTTCTTACCTCAATTCTCTCATCTGTAAAATAAGGATAATAATACATAATTTGAAGGAATGTTTTGAGAATTTGAACTGTGGTGTTGGAGACTCTTGAGAGTCCCTTGGGACTGCAAGGAGATCCAACCAGTCCATCCTGAAGGAGATCAGTCCTGGGTGTTCATTGGGAGGACTGATGCTGAAGCTGAAACTCCAATACTTCGGCCACCTCATGTGAAGAGTTGACTCATTGGAAAAGACCCTGATGCTGGGAGGGATTGGGAGCAGGAGGAGAAGGGGACGACAGACGATGAGATGGCTGGATGGCATCACCGACTCGATGGATGTGAGTTTGAGTAAACTCTAGGAGTTGGTGATGGACAGGGAGGCCTGGCGTGTTGCAGTTCATGGGGTCACAAAGAGTCAGACACAACTGAGCAATGGAACTGAACTGAACTTTGAGAATTTCTAGTTTTATACATAAGTGGGTGATTAATACTATCATTATTTCTGCTTGCTTTCTTCCTTTCCAACTTGAACCTCAGAATAAAGGGGACATAGTTACAACAGTTTGGTGGGATACTGCAATCTACTTCGGAGTTTGTCTCCTCTGATGGTGTATTCTGCAGAGGAGATATTCTGTCTCCTCTAGACTACTGTATTCATGATTGTAGGTTATAACCCATGGGCCCTGACAACCCAAGATGACCCAGGATGGTGGCATGATGGAAATCTGGGTTTACTTACAGGAGAAGGCATTAATGCCCCAACTCTTTACCTTTCTCTGAATTGAGACTCTTTGTTATGCAACTTCTCAAGTTTCTTCCATTAAAAAATCAGATTATATTTCTCCACCCCTTAGCTTTCAGTCGGGCCAAATGGTGTGCTTTGGCCAACAAAATGAGATAGGAAAGACAGTTTCCAGTTTTAAGCCTATACCTCAAGACAGTATGCATAATTCTGCTTGATGTCTTGTGCAGTTGCCATCACCAGGAGAGTACGCCCAAGATAGCCCCAAGGAGGAGGATGAGAAATACAGGAAGCTGAGCAGAGTTGCCACAGCTCAGCCCAATCTAGACCAGGCAACCCCAGCCAACCCACAGATGTATGAAAATATGTAATTGTTATTTTAAGCCACTGAATGCCGGGGTTATTCATACCCTAATATTTGACTGATAGACCGACCTTAGTAAAAAATATTGCTTAACATTATCAATTAATCAAATAATTGATTGGATTTTTAATGCATTAGATGCTGGGGATATAAACAAAACCGAAAACTATCATACCTGCCCTGAGGGAACTTACAGTGTAGGTGAGAGGGAAAGAAAAAGAAGCACTATTAGCAGAGTTAAAGACAGTTTGTTTGAGAGAAAGGGAATGCCTGGAGTCAGGGCTTAGCCCGAGATGATTGTCTGACTGCTCCTAGTGGCGGAAAGAGGAATTGCATCTAAGAGATGTCCTGTATTGTAGGCAGGTTCTTTACCATCTGCGGCTTCCCTGGCCGCATCACCAGGGAATCCCCTTTTAATTTTCATGTGCTGTGCTAAGCTGCTTAGTCTTGTCTAAGTCTTTGCGACCCCATGAGCTGAAGCCTTCTAGGCTCCTCTGTCCACGGGGATTCTCAATAGTCTGACTCTCAGCTCTGGAAGGATCCTCCTTAGGAACTCACTTTGGATAAGTTCTCATTTACATCTATGGAAACTTAGGCTCAGAGAAAGAGAATGATTTACCCAAGGTGATTCAGTGAATTTGCAGATCTAGGACATGAATCCAGGGCCTCTGCCCCCAAGGTTGGCACATCTAATTCTATATGACCCATGACAGGCCTCACAGTGTCAGTAAATTCCAAACTGATAAATATTCTTGACCAAAAGTTTTATTACTAGTATCATTTATGATAAGATGAAACTCCACATTGTTATAATTCATAACTATAACATGACTTCTTTCTTGCCCAAGTGATTTAAGGTGTGATAATAATCAGACCTCATAATTAATAATAATAATTACTAATTTTCATCTATTGAGCGTCTGCTTGAAGCACAGTGCTCACTGCTGTAGGTATATGGGCATGTTTAATCCCTGCAACAATCCGGGCACAGATACCAAACCCTATTTTATGGAACTGTAAACGGAATCTCACAGAAACTTACTAGGAAGCAGCAAAACCAAGAATCAGACTCAGATCCAAGGCCTGCAGTCTCCCCACCTATCTCTGTGGCCTCAGCTGTGAGAATCTCCATCTGAAACGTCTGGTTCAGAAAAGGCATACCTGTTCAGTATTCCTCAGCATACTCTTCTCTGCCTGGGGAAGGCATAATGGGAGCCTACCACCAGGTGATAACGCCATCTCCCTATTTGGATCTTGCCTCTCTTTTTATACCATTTACCAAAGGCTGTGTCTAGAGCAGGAAGCTTTGAGAGGGCCTGGGGTAGCCTAGGGCTTCTAAGTGAAAACAAGGAACTGACTCAGCGGGCTCAGTGGGGTCTGGCTATCTTCAGAGTCTGAGGACGGACACATCAAAGGGACGGCAGCCTGCTACCTTTGATGAAGGGACCAACAGGAAATTATCAGCTTCTTGCTGACAAGGACAAAGACAAGAAAAGGCCCATTTGAGCCTCATCTCTGTCTGGATGGGAAGAGTCAGGAAGCAGAGGGGACTGTTTAATCCTGCCTCCAGAGCAACTATGAACCCTGGCTTCCTCCCGTGAAGAACAAGGTGAAGGAAAGGTGAGGCAAGTTAAGATAAACACCCAAACTTTCGGCTGCCTGGATGAACCGAACCTTTTAATTTAAACTGTCAAAAAAGAGGTGTTTTTTTTTTTTCTCTTTTCCTTTTTTAATCCAAACTGTAATCACAAGTACTCCACCCAAGAGCTCGATAAGGATTTCTAAGACAGAACCTAACATAGTCATAAAAAAATCCCCTCGGAAATGTGCACTTTGTACTGTGCCTATGTGTAGGTGTGTTTAAAATGTCACGAACTGGAATGCCTAACTCTGGTTCTCAGGAATTAATCACTTAAGAGTGAAAGGGGGGAATTAACTTGCTTTAACACTTATAAGATTCTCCAAAGCATTTGCCAAAATAGAACTTACTGAATAGAAGCATGGTTATCTTTCCACAAGAACTATTTTTTTTTTTTACATTTCTCTATAAAACTGCCTTGCAAAAAGTTTCCCCCTGGGGCTCAGCTGCAGGTCATAGATACTCTGGGAATAAAGGTGTAAAATAAAATTTTTGCCTTTCTTTTTGATTGTGACTCAATGAATTTTAGTAAATGTATAGATTTGTGCAACCATCATCACCATCCGATTTTAGAACATTTTCATCATACAACACAGTTCCCTCAAGCCCATTTTCATCAATTTTTATTCACACCCTTGGGACAACCACTGATCTGCTTTCTGTCTTTATTATAAATTTTCCTTTTTGGAACATTTCATATAAATGGAATCAGAAAATATATGGCTTCTGCCTCTGGCTCTTAACATGTTCTTTAGGTTCATTCATGTTGTAACATACACCTGTATTTATTTCCTTTTTAATGCCAAATATTATTCCATTATATGGATATACCACATTTTATTTATTCACTCACTAGTAGATGGACGCTTAGACAGTTTCCAACTTCTGGCTATAATGGCTAATTCTGCTTTTCAGGTACATGTGTGTGGGCTGACATTAATTTCTAGTTGTCTTAAGTAGACACCCACAAACTGCTGGTTTGTGCAAAGGAACACTGACAGCCCTTATACACGGAGCTCCATCTGATTCGGGTGTGCAATGTGAGTAGAAATCTACCAAACGATTTTTAACATACTTTTTAAACCCCAATGATGTTATCATTCACCGAAGAATCCGAAACCTCTGTGACACGGTTTGGTTTTGTGGAACACACATTTCCACGGCGGGGGGCGGGAGGGGGGTGGTCAGCGAGAGCAGGGACTGGTTGGAGAGACGGTGAAGCAGCAGATGAAGCTTGGTTCTCTCGCCAGTCCCAGTCCGCAGCTCACCTCCTGCCCTGCTGCCTGGTTCCTAACAGGCCATGGACCATTACGCGTCAGGGGGTCTGGGACCCCTGGTCTAAAAAAAAAAAATCTCACTACCACCACCAAACTGCTGTCGCCTGACGAATTCTGAAACAAAGGCAAAGGATATACTCCGGATAACGTCAGGTCACCTGTGACGAGGCCCATCCTTGGCTGTGCCTCCAAAATGGAAATAATGACTTTTCTCACGGATCAAGTCATGTCCTAACCATCATGAATGATCCCCGGCATTTTTGTATACCTGCAATTAGACCGAAGGGTCCTTCACGTTCCCTTCCTGTTCCCACTTACACTTAGGTGGAAAGCATGAGAAAATGCAGACCACCGTCAGGAGACAAAGAGCCGAACGCGAGTATCTCTGAGGGAGAGCGGGGCCCCCTTCCCTCCACCCGTGGCACTCAGAGCCCCATCACCGCGCTCGGGCCCGTTACAGGGCGGGGACCTTGGCCGAGGCCGAGGAGACACTCCAGGTGTTAGGGCTTAGAACACACAAGTGGAAGGTGAACGGACAGGACCAGAGACGCTGAGAGAGGACGCAGGCAGGGTGTGGAAGGGGCTCCGTGGGGCACCGCGGCCCGCTCACCGCGCTCCCGGGAAAGCGCTCCGCCTCCTCGGCCTCGCGCGGGCACGTGTGCGGCGAGAGTGGGTGCCCGGCGCCCAGAGCCCCGTCTCCTCGCGACCTTCGGGAAGTAAAGGGGGGGGGGGGGGTTGCACTTAAGAGCAAAAGAAATGAGAAACGGCAAACTCAGCGGCCTCACCCCCAGCCCAGGAACCAGTTTAAGGGCCACCGGGACTCGGAGGGCGAAGGACTCGGCGGCTCTGCCCCGGACGCGGGCGGCGGCGGCCTTCCGCGCCTCAGGGATCCCAGAATCGCCGAGAAGCCCGCGGGCACCCGGGGGGCGGGGGCGTGGTGCCCGGATGGCCCCGCCCTGCCGCCCGCCCCCGCGCGCGTCCCGGGCGCCGCGTGCGAACGCCGGGGCTCCGTGTGCTTCGCGGACTCGGGAGCCCGGGGCGAAGGGCCCGGGGGCGGGCTTTGGTCTCCCCCCTCGGTCCCGCCACCCCTCCAATTCAGTTCCCCGTTCGCGCGCTGTCCGAGGCGCTCTCTTCCTTTTTCTGCCTCTTTTAATGTTAATTTTTCGGCCCGACTGCATCCCTCTCGCCCCCTCCCCCCTCCTGGCGAACCCGTCCCTCCTTTTCGGCCCTCATCGCGGTCCCTCCTGGGATTCCAGTTAGCCTTTTGCTGCTTCATCTTCCCTCCGCCTCTGCTTTTTCCGCCACCTCCCACCCGAGAAACTTGTTTCGGCCAGGGGTCCCCCTCCAGTCACAGTTGTCCCCCTGTCTCCCTAGGGACGGCAGCGTGTGCGGGCCCCAGCATTGTTCCCCGAAGCAAGAGCGCCCCGCCCAGTCCCTGGCGTGATTCCGAAGCCCGGGCCCGGCCAGCGTTTTCTCCTGGCGACTCCGCAAGGGCAGGAAGCAGGCCCGGGGCCCCTTCTTCCAAGGAGTCTTCTTAGAGGGGTACAGTGCGGGACTCAGGAAGGAGGCGGGCCCTGAGTCCTTAGGCCGGCTCTCCCGCAGAACCGCACTCTCCACGGAGCCTGGGGTGGGGGGGCGCAGCGAAGGGGCCTGAGGCAACAAGTGACTCTTCGTGCGGGCGGGGACCACTGTACCTGCCTGGGGCGGGGGCCGGGCCGACCCTGGCTAAGCGATCCTGGCCCCTCTCCCCGGCCCCGTTCCCCTTACGGACACTAGGCTTTAGAGATGGGTGGCGGGAGGGAGATCTGGGAGAGAAGGAGACGTGGCTCTACCCAAGTCCAAAGTCTCCCTCCTCCAGGTTTCACCATCCGCACCCTTAGCAGAGTTTGCTAGGGATGAAGAGAGGGGGCAGGGCAGAAGCCGCCGACGTGGAGGGATCTTTGGAACGCGGGGTGGTGGAGTGAGGGGGAACAGTTCCCGATTGCCTCCCCCACTTGGGCGATGTTTTCCCCCCTACCCACCTCTCAAGCCTCCTGGGCCACGGCCCAGCCTGACCAGCTGGAGCGGATTTGGGCGAAGGAGGAAAGAGGGGCCCTGGAGCCCTCCCCAGCTTTTCTCTGCCGCCCTCCCTGATTGGCTGTGCGTCCCTGGAGCCCAACTTCAGTCGCTCCAGACTCCATCTGAGACTCAGGGGATCCGGAGTGCGGCGACCCAGAGCGGGGTAGGGGGGTGGCCACGAATCCCGGGGCTGACATCCCGGGGGTCCCTGGGGGGAGGGGCGCGGACGGGCCGGCCCCCGCAGCCTCAGCGAGGCCCGGCTAGCCGCGTCTTGCGGCCTCGGCTCCTCTCCGCCGCCCCCCCCCCCCCCCGCCCTTTCCTTCCCTCCCAGCGGCGGCCTCCCTCCTTCTCCGCCCCCCCCCCCACCCGCCCGCCACCTCCCCCCGGTTTCTCATTCCTGCCACTAGCGCGCTCGGCGGCTCATTCCGCGGCCGCCGCCAGCCGAGGGGAGCGTCGCGAGCGGATGCCGCGGGGGCCGCTCGCAGCCGCCGCCGACTTGTGAATGGGACGCGGACAGGGGCCGGGGCTGACACCGCTGCGCTCGCCCTGCTCCAGGGACCGACGGCCCGCATCCCGCGCCCACCCTCCGGGGCCCCAGGTGAGGCGCGCCGCCAGTGTCCTCCTCTCGCCTGGATGGGGCTTCTTTGGGGGTGGGTGCGGGGGGGGCTGGTCTTTGGATGAGAATGTCTGGCGAGCGGGGTGGGGGGGAGAAGGACTGACTCGACAGGGTTTCACAAATGCTAAGGGGGCTGGGGAGGGCGGAGGTAAGAGAAGATTTGTTTAAAAATCGAAAAGGAAGAAGGGAGCCAGTTGTGGGCGCGGGCAGCTCAGGGGACAGAGGCGCCAGATGTGCGCTCCAGTCTCTCCCTGCAGCTCCGGTCTCTTAGTGGGTCTGCGCCGAGGCCTCGAGAGAGGGACTTTGCACCCGGCTGGAGCTGGAGGCTGCAGGGCTGCGCCCCGGACGCGCCGACCGCCCCCGGTCAGATCTCCGGGGGAAAGTCGCCCCCAGCGCGGTGCTCGCCCGCCCTCCCGCCCGCGCTGCGCCTCTTTCCGAAAGCGATGACATGACCGAGCTCTGCAGGGTCCCTACCCCTTCCTCCTCTATCCCGACCTAGCGCTCCCGGGGACTCAGTTCCTCCATCGAGATAGCCGGGGAAGCCCCGGAAAACGGCAGGAACCCAGCTCGGGTCGGCGATTTCTCCGCACTTTTAGAGCGTGGGTTTGGGTCCACTGACTGCGGCTCGGGGGGGCTGCTGACTGCGGCGAGCGCTCCAGCCTTCAAGCCGGAGTGTCTTCGGAGGGCTCCGGGGGAAGTGTGTCAGCTCCCGCCAGCTCCAGGGGCGATACGTGAGCGGCTCAGACTCGGGCTCAGGCTTGGCACAGCCTGCCCGGGTCAACGTTAACTTTGCGAAGCGAGCCTTCCCCGCAGCCTGCGCCTCCTCCCGGAGTGCGTCGAGCCTTTCCAGCGCCGCGCGCACGACCTCCCTCCCACGTCTCTGCCCCGAACCGGAGCGGCGAGTGAGGAGCCTGCAGAAACCCGCAGAATGTGGGGACGGCGAGGAGAGCACCCCTTTCTCCCTACACCCGGGTGTAGCTATAGGAGGCTCGGCTGGTGCCATGAAGAAAAGAGTCCCCAGAGAAAGTGGGGTCAGCGAGCGTCACCTCCCCCCCCCCCCCGGTGGCGCTTCTTCATTCCTTTCTTGCCAAGGCCTTGTTCCTCGTTTTCTGGGGGTGAGGGTGGAAGTGGGGACGGGGTGGGGTAGGGAGCGGTGGTGTTCGCACGCCTTCTTCTCCCGCGTGAAAGGTTTTCTAAATGCTTGAAAAAGAAAGCCCTGTTGCTTTGCTGATAATGCAGCAGGGATTTCACGGGCCATCGCACTGCTATTAAGAAATTGCATCTTCTCATCATTTACTAACGCCACCTCTGCATGACGACGGGTCGTTCCTAAGGGGTGGGGTGGAAGGTTGCTTCTAAAACCCTGCTGCATGAAGGTATAGACATGCCTGTAAAGTCTTCCCTCCCTAAACAAATCTTTGTCGGGTGGCTCTGAAATCGTGCCTTGTTTTCCTTTTCCGATCATTCCTATCGGTTTTATATGAGGCAGAGTAAGTTTTCGGTTTAATCACAGGGAAGCCACAATGATTAATATGGTGAGAGGACATGGGTCGATGTCTTTATTACTTGGGCTTGCGGCAGGCATCGCTGGTTTTGCGTTGTGTCTGGATTTCCCGGGGAAGGGGACGCAGAAGTGTTCTCAGGAGCGAGGATCCGCCAGCATCGCATCAGCACATTTGCCACGCGGGGCTCTGAGAGCTAGAGCCTAATACGATGAAAGAGAAGAGACGAGGCTGACCTTTATTTCATTAATCCTGGAATTATTTTTCCTACAAATACAGAGATGCAGACAGCAGAATCCAGAAGTAATCACTCCCAAACCCCAGCTGCAGGAGAGCCTGGTCCTAGTCCAGTAGAACAAAGGAATAAAAGTTGCAAAACAAAGAGGTAGAGGGTTGGGGCCAAGGCCAGTGGGACCCTGAAGCTCCTGCTCACTGAAGTTCCTTAGTCATGAGCTCTGATTCAAAGTTTTAGAGTTGGCCAGTGGGCCCTAGAATTCAAACCTCTCTGCAAGACTGAAATCCTGCCTAGTACAATGGAATGTGAGTAGTTTTCAACTACAGACCAAGGAAAAGCATCTGAGAGGACAGGAAAGTTTCCTTGAGTGAGAATTAGCTCTACATGCTGTTTTTGAAACAATGCAAATTAATACATTTAAAATGTCTTGCAGTCACATTTTATTATTCATATATTATTATGATCCTTTTTTCATGTTGTTTTGGAGTCTGTATAAGTTGGTCATTTTATTATATTGTTAGGGAAAAAAACAAACAAAAAACCTCTCCCCACCTTTGGGGAAGGGAGCTGCATTGGAAGGATTGAGATAGGATAATCTGTTGAGGCCCAGGCATGTCGATTTATTCAAACTGAGCTTACCAGAAAAATAGGCTTTGGAAGTAGCTCTAATTGAAGCAGTGGACCATCTTGATAGCACTTCAGAACTTTCATTATGTTCTGCATTCTTATCTGAACGCTAGACAGTAAAATTACTAGAAACGCAAATTCTGTTTTCAATTAAGATGCAATCTTTTGTTAATTTGAGAATTTTTTTAAAAGTTACCACTTTTTTTTTTTTTTTTTTTTTGACCCAGAACTCACGGTTCCTCTTTGCAGTGGTGGCTGTGGATGTGTGTGTATGTTTATTTGTTCCTGAAAAGGGGTGGGGGCAGGGTTGGAGAGCCATGCCATGATTTGGGGGAATACGGATCAATTTCATGCTCCTTTAATGCACTTGTCTTCATAATTCATGGTTTTTCTTCCAGTTTGAATAGAATTACATGGCTGCTTTGTAAAGATTCTGGTTTGGGGATCTTCATATGGGAAGTGCCATGACTTTGACCTCAAAGCTTGATTTACAATGCCAGAGCTACGCTCCCTTGAGCATAGTGTGTCTCAGAACCTTGTCTGTGAATGTCTGTGACTTATGAAGTTGACAGTTAACGTAAACTTTGATCTGTGATATTCAAAGCTATTTTCGGAACCATCTAAAGGAGATCTGCAAATCTGATTTTAGTCTGCCTTCATTTTCTATACATTTATGTAGGCAGATGTTCCAGAAACATGATCATTTTGTTTAAGTTTATTTTCAGTGTTGATTTATTTCACTTTGATCATAGGAATACCTTATCATTAAATAATAATGATAAGACAGTAGTCTAAAGAGTTTGAAAGCCAGTAGCCAACCTTTTTTTTAACTGTCAAATTTGCAGAATAACTACTATCAATTTGTACATTTTTTTTTTCCTTACTAGAAAATCTCACTATTGTGTAAATTCACCAGCCAGTGATGTAAGGGATTGAAATGTGCTTGGGATATTTTCCCCCCTTATGCAATTGGTCATTGTTTCATAAAAAGTTACCTGATTTGTCAAGAATCCCTGTCCTAGATTTACCAGCCACTGTGGTTGTCAGTCTTTTTGGTTCAAAGTTATTGCCCCTGAAATATGTAAATGTCTTTGGTCTGCTCTGTGTGTGTGTGTGTGTGTTTGTGTGTGTGTGTTATTTAAGGGACTGGGGAAAAACATCAACAGGTCTGGTAAAAAAAATTTTTTTTAAAAAGCTGGAGAAAGTTGGACAAATTCTGTTGTACCAGTATGAGTAAGAGTGAGGTTTCCATCAGTGTTACTATGATAGCCATCCACAGCCTCCTCTGTGGGCAAAGAAGAACTCAAGAAAACACTCGAGGAGGATAATTAGACATCTTCTGCTATAATTTTACCCTGACATTGAGAGCCTTGTGCATCTCTGGAAATGGGTTCCTTCGCGGAAGATTGCACTTCTGGCCACTAGAGGGCAATGGCACCCTGCTCCAACTTTGTGCCTGGGGCCCATCTGCTTTTGAGGGCACCATGAAAAGCAGTTTTGTTACCACCGGCCTTGTCTGGACCTCTCAGGAGAGACCGAATTCAATCTAGCTGTGGTTCAGGCTACTGCTTCAGCAGTTTGTCAGGATTAACATCTTTCTAGTCCGTGGATCCCGTTACCTTCCGTCTCTTCTTCCCACCTTGGAGTTTACTAGAAAGTTGCAAAATCTGAATCTTGAAATCCTCTGAGCAGGAGATGAGGGGGCCTGGACTGTATAATAAACAAGGTCAGTTCTCACTGAGGCAGTGATCTGGAGGGTTTTCTAGTTCTTTTTTTTCCCTGCAAAAAAAGCATCATTTCAGACTCCAAGGGGGAAGGCAAGGAGTAAAGAAGGGGAATATTAGTGAGATTGCTGTGATAACATTGCCTATTCTTTCAAGAGGTTTTGAAGATGTCTGCAAGGCATTTTTAATTTGCAAAAAAGAAAAGCAGTTTGATCTTTGGTAAACACTTTGGGGCATGGAGTTTTAATATAACAGTAAATGTTTTACTATTACCTTTAAACCATTCTTGATATTGCTGTACAAAAGCTAACTTTAGCAGAGTAAAATTTAATTCAAGATTGGTCCTCATGCACTGGAGTTTAATCATCTGACTTTTTTTTTCCCCTGCTCCGTGATATGGAAATTACTGCTTATGATTAAATTGCATATTCCAGGCTGCACAAATTTATATTTGTTACTGTTTGATAGTATCATTATGAATTTAGAAGAAGAATGAAACAAAAAAAAACCTTAATGCTATATTATAATTAAGAGGAAAGCTCTATTTTAAAAAAATTACTGGCTTAAGTGGATTCTTATTTGTATCTTTTTTTTTTTTTTTAACTGAATATAGTTGCCTCCCTGGTGAATCAGCAGTGGAGTTCTTTGCAGCTCTGAGTATGTTGGAATGCATGGGCAGTTGATGAAGGAGGAATCAATGCAAATGGATTATGAGAGGGAGTATTAAGTAACTCAGTTGAAAGTAAGACAAAGTGTTTTGTAAACCAAAGCTCACTTACTGCCTGGACAGTTTATTTAACTTTAAAAACGAAGGCACTTTTAATTTCTAAGTGCTTGTGAATAATGCACGTTTGTTAGAACTGGAGGCAAAATTTCAGTGTTATTTGGTTTAATTAGTCGTCTGACAGTTGCAGAGTTCTGAGATGCTTATTGAGATAAAGCATTGTTCTCAGAGTTTCTATGGTCAAGGTTTTTGCTCAGGCAGAGAACCTAGTACCCAGGATGTTAAATGAGATGGGAGTTAAGAGAGAAGAAAGGAAGAAAGAGGAGGGGGGAGAAAAGAGTGTGGGAGAGACTGCGGGTGCCCTTTCTCATGGCAGGTCAGGCACTGGTGTCTCTCTCTCCTTTCCTCTCTTTTTCTACTCATTTAGACCATGCGAGGTGCTGAATCCAGAAAGCTGGCATAAACAGCTCCACAGGCCACGGTAAACAGTGGCCGGAGCCTTATTCTCTCGCCTTCTGGCACTGAATACTTGTCAAAGGATACTGTGAATAAGCACTGCCTTTTTCTGCCTTTCCCCTGGTTGTTCCAGTTGAAGAAAAACCTTCACTTCCTCCATGAACTTCTTTATTTGCCAGAAATCCTCCTGACACGGTCCTCTGTGCTGGCATGATTTCACAAATTAAGATTACTTCTCTATGTTCACTTTTCCCTGAAGAAAATGTCTTCAGATGCAGCATCTTCCCCACCATGATGACCACCTGCCATGGCAACTGGAGCAGTGGAAGCCCCACCCTGGGTTTAATTTAAGACACACAGAGATATCTTCTCAGCCGTCATTAGGCTCCACCGGTGAGAGGAGTGGGAATTAAGGGCAACATCCTGGCCATGGATGCTGTTTCATTCTCAGGAAGAACAAGCACGGATGAAGGCCGGGACAGACAGAGCATATCAAATTACAGTGAATTCACCCCCACCGTGATCTCTGGGTATGTGCTACCGGTGGTCACATACCGAACAGTCAGCCCTATTTCCATCATTCCTGAGGCCTGGACCACCTATTCAGACTCGGAGTTGGTATTGCAGAGCAATCAGGCCAAGATCAGGGTGAGGAGAGTGAGGTGAGGACAGGCCAGTGCAGACTTAGATCCTGACTGTATTTAAAATGTTGATATTTTGCGCATCATGGAGTTTTTTTTTTTCCCTAGTGATCTTGATTTTTGAAATATTTCCTTAAAATATTATTTATCTTGATTTACTGAGTTTGGGGGGTTTCCCAGGTGGCACTAGTGGTAAATAACCTGCCTGACAAAGCAGGAGACATCAGAGAAGCAGGTCTGATCCCTGAGTCTGGAAGATCCCCTGGAGGAGGGCATGGTAACCCACTCTGGTACTCTTGCCTGGAGAATCCCATGGACAGAGGAGCCTGGTAGGCTACAGTCCATGGGGTCCAAAAGAGTCAAACACAATGAAGCGACTTAGCAGTAACTGCAACTGAGTTTATTGGCATCCCCTTATATTTTGTGCCCATGGACAGAGCCCCACCTGACTCACCCTGGTTCCAGCCCTGCCCAGCAGTCTGATTCTTCTCAGTTCCAGCTCCACCACTTGCAAAGTAGGAACCCAAGACTGAGCTAAGTAACTTCTTTCAGACTCAGCTACCTCATCTGTAAAAATGGACCTAGTCATAATATCTATGTCCTGGGATTGCTATAAGATAACAGAAGAATTGGGTACAATGTCTGGTTCATGAGTGCTCAGTAACTGCTTGGGACTTCCTGTCCTCTCAGAAGGAGACCTGGGCTTTTATAAACTAACCATCACAGGTAGAAGTTCTTCCCCATGACTATTTGGCCAAAATCCTGCACTAAACTTTCCCTTTGGCTTGAGGGCCCTCCCAATTAGTGATGAATTGTTTATTAGAACCTGCCTTTTTTAAAAAAATATATTTCAGAAGTTTAAGTGATCCATCCCTTTTCCATTTAAAATATTCAAGAGGCAGTCAAGATTTGAGAGATAATTATGGCTTTTGAAAAGTGCCTGCCTCCTGGATACCTTTGCATTTTCCCCTGCTCATTTTTACATATGGGCTGCTGTGGAAAGTTACCCTTAAGTTATATCTTACTGGGAAAGTTGGCTAAGCCTGTGATGTTGAGATATTTGTCACAAGGTCTGCCTGTCTTTAAAAGGGACTCATTACTATTCCAGACTAGCTGAAATGATAATTAGTCTCTTGATAAATTGTCGCCATTTTCCAGAATATTCCTGTTTGTTTTTCAGGTAAATGTAGTTTGGGGTTTTCAGGAGGATGAGCTGTGACAGTCTGACTCCTGGAAAGACTGCGGCTTGAAGAAGTGCTTGCCCTGTCTGTGGTCTTCCTCGGGCCCAGGCAGAAGCACAGTGATTTGGCATTGGGTTAAAAATAACAGGAATCCCCACCCCCACGCAGCCCTCCATGGCATTCCGACTGTTCTCACAGCCCGTGTCACCATCAGGCTGCAACTTCCAAAGCTCCTAGTCCTTCCAGGTTGGCCTGCTGTGTTCCGCCTGCAGCTTTCCTATGTCGTCTGTCCCTACCGCAGGCCCTCCTGCGTGCCCCCCGAGCACGCGGCGCCACGAGAGCGAGGCACTGCCTGCGTTTGCCTGGAAAAGGCCAGGGCAGAGGGCCGCCTTGGTGAGACAGGACCGTGCATCAGGTCCCTCCTGTGTTCTGTGCAGTCACCTGTGAGGAGGGTGCTGTCGTCTCCACTTTACAAGTCGGGAAAATGAGCCCAGGAGGATTCAAGACACTCGTCCTAGCTCACCAGGCCGGAGGAAGGAAAGCCAGGTGTCAAAGCCCGTTCTGACCCCACAGGCCAGCAGTTTCCTGCCGTGTGTGGTGGGCATTGCAATCCCGGTCCTCTCGGCTTCCTAGAGAAGAGCGGCGGGACAGAGGGCCAAGTTGACGGCTCGACCCTGTGCCCTTACAAGCTCCCAGATGTTGTCCATTAAAGGAGCCTCTGAGATCTTATGGTTGAACTCTCCTCTTTGCAGGGTTTCTGCTTGTCATTGATCCTGCATCTTCCTAAATGTCCTGATGACAGCCCGCTAACGACATCTCAGGAAACCCATGACACCAGAGGCAATTCATTAACTCTGCTCATTAAAATATCCCGTCATATAAGGAGCTAAGACATCCTCTGCTGTAACTTTCTCCCAGTAGTCTCTTTGCCCTGCTCCCTGGCACTTTTTCCTTCTCCTGAAAGCCCTACAAATACTAGAAAATGGCATCTGATAACAGTTAAAATCCATCATGTATTGAGTACTAAGCTAGATTCAGGCTCTATGCTAAGGACATTCTATAATGTGAGACTTATCTGCAGCAACCTATGAGCTGGTTAAGATAATTGCTAGCATCTTACAGAGGAAAAAAAACCGGAAATTTCCAGGGTTGCATCGCTGTTAATTGGCAAAGCTGAGATTAAAAGCCAGGCATCCAACAGCCAACTTAACCTGCGTCAGGGTGCTCTGCCATTCGGTTGTTCAGCTAGCCTGGTGAGATTACAGACCTCTCACCATCCTCATCTCTCACATCTGCTTCCATTCCGTTTTGTCATTGTCCCCTCTAAACATGTGGCAGCTTAAATCAGAGTCTCTATCATGGCCTATACTGTAGAGTGATTGGACCTCCTATTTCCTGTAATGAAAATTGGACATCTCACTTTACCAGGCAGAATTCTCAGGAATCAGGTGTCTGAAGTCACTTAACTGAGCTGTTGGCTATCCTCATCAACCATCTTTCAGAGGTGAGGGTCCAGTGGCCCATAGAAGAACCACGACTCGCCTAATATCACATGGTAATCTAGGAACAGGTGAAATAAGAAGTGAGTGGTCTTGGCTCTTAATCCTATCTCTTACCACTATCTAAAAGCAAAAGACTTTTTATTTATTTTTTTAGAGTTGATATACCTGTGGACTGATTATGATTTAAACATATCACTAGTTCAAGTATATATATAAAAAAGATTCACCCTATAATATTACTTGGCAGTTAAGTTATAACATCTAAATATGGAACTTTGTATGAATCTTTAATATTTTGAAGTCACGGTTAGCCAACCCAGTGTCATTTGATAATATTTTGCAGTATATACCATTTTATTTCATCCTTCAGCTCTGTCCTACTTTATAGATATCTACCACTAATATCTCTATTCCGAGTTTCCATAAGTAGCAGTAAGAATGGTGTCACCACTTTGCCACCCCTAAGCTTTCACAGGGCCCTCTGGCAGGGTTTGGTTTGCACTCCATCTGAAACTCATTTCACTGTCCCCTACTTTTAATGAAAGGCCTGGGCTGGGAACACTGAAATGGTCAAATCACAGGGCCTTTCCCCAGGGAGCTGACAGTATCACTGGTGAAGAACATACTAAAATCTAAAGGCTGCATACAGTCAGTGCTCAAAGGAAGTATAAGCAAGGAGGACCACAGTAAAGACAAGCCACATGCAGTTCAGTGATCAAGGATGATTTGGGGAAGGGAAAAAATCATTGCATTCCTGCATGGGGGGACGGGACCCAAGAGACCAACCAGACTTAACACATTGTGCCACCAGGTCCTCCAGTCCTGGCTCCACATGCCAGTGATAGCCAGAGTGTCACTAGTCACAGGGGACTCCTTACCCCGGGCACAAACCACCAAGGCTTTAGGGACTTCCACATTTAGAAACACTCCCTTTGGGTTGATCCAAACTCTGTGTCCCCAGAGGTGGTAATCTTGGGTATGAGCCTTTGATGTCAGTGAGGGATAGATAGAATTCTCCCTCCCCGTTGCAGCTCTTCAGTATCTGGGTGGTCTTCCAGGATACCGCCTCTGTCTCCCGTCTCCAGAATGGACACCTGTCTCCGTTTTGCCCTGCTCGGACAGCGGGACTGAGCGCAGAAATCTAGAGGCAGCTTAGACTATCAACTCCCTCTACACGTCTTTTATTGCAGCCTGAGGCTACATTACATTAGCTTTTATTGCCAGCCACATCACCCAGAGGACTTATGCTCCACAGTTTGTTTATTTGTTTTTCCTGGTGTGCTGCTGTTGAGCCACATTTTCCCACCTGTCTCTGCACGCAGAACACATGATGCGGCGCCTTCAGCAGTGTGAGGGAGTCAGGCTGCCTGGCTTCAGAGCTTGGCCCTGCTGCTTCCCAGCTGCGCAAGCCACGTATCTGTCTCTCAGTGTCCTCATTTGTAACACTGGGTTAATAATACCAGCCTTACAGGTGTGGTTCCGATATTAAATGATATTAATGTGTAAAAGTGTTTAAAGAGTGCATGGGATGAGGTTGCTGTTTTTGTTATCTCTGTTACATTACATATCAATATTCTGGACCCATTGATCCAGACTCCCAAAATGTTTTTAAATTTAAATCTTTAGTCTCTTGTGCAGAATATCTGTCATCCCTCTAACCATGCAATAGTTTGGCTTACTTAGATACCTACCTTTCTTATGAAAAACAGCAAGAACAACAAAACCAATAGAAGCAGGGACAGCACCTTGTTAACCACAGAGGACACTCCTTTTGAGTAATTCTACCTAGGTGGTGCTAGTGGGTAAAGAACCCACCCGCCAGTGCAGGAGACATACCAGATGTGGGTTCGATCCTTGGGTTGGGAAATCCCTGGGAGGAGGGCATGACAACCCACTCCAGTAGTCTTGTCTGAGGAATCCAAAGAACAGAAGAGCCTGGCGGTCTATAGTCCATAGGATCGTGAAGAGTCAGACACAACTGAAGTGACTTAGCACGCACGCATGCCCTGGAATACAATATTCTTCATGTACTCATTCCTTGTAATGCATAGTTGACATTTTGTTTGCTTTTTTGCGTGGCTTCATAGCGCCCAAATCGCCTTCCTATGTTTGGAGAGAACCCACAATAAGACTGTAGAAAGTCTGTAGAAAGACTGCCCTCTTTCTACTCCACAGGCTTCAAGGGCCAGCATCTCTGTCCTCTTTCTCCTGGAAGGTAGAGTGGTGACTCAGTGTGTTTTAAACTTGGAATCAGTATCTTACACTTAGGCGCCTGTGTGCGTGCACACCCACAGGAGCACACACACAAGCCCCGGCCGTGAAGGAACCCCTGGATGCTGACCGTGAAGAGCCCACTGTGGTCTTGAGGAGCGGCTGCTGCACCATCGGCGGCCAGGGGTAACCGGAGGGGAGGAGCGAGCTGCCACTACCCGTGTCCAGTGGGGAGCATGGCGGCGGCCTCTGTGCTGTATGCTGTGCTGAGTCGCTCAGCTGTGTCTGACTCTTTGCAACGCCATGGACCCACCATGGACCTGCCAGGCTCCTCTGTCCCTGGAATTCTCCAGGCAAGAATACTGGAATGGGTTGCCATGCCCTCCTCCAGATTTGTGGCAGGATCTGGTCCGCAGTTCTGAAAAACTGCCGAGGTTCCTGATGTTCCTGACCACTTCTCTAGTCTTCCTGCAAGCCGTGTGCTACTCAGAGTTGCTTTGAACTAATAAACCCAACAAGCCTTGGATATCCTTGCAAGACTGCTGCACAAAAACTTACCCACTGCAATGGTGAGGGGACTGGCTTTTGAGTTCCTCTCAAATGCTGAATCGAATGTGGATAGATGGTTAGATATTCAGGTGTGAGGAGAGAGCAGAGGAAGCCTTTATGAAACATTGGATGGTCAGATTGGGGTTGAGCAAGAATTGGGTAGGACATCAGAACCTGGGCGAAAGCTAAGTGACACGGCTCAGTAGATGAAGTGGAATTTACACAGGCAACTATGGCAAATGACATAACTGTTAGACATGTGGATGGAAAACGGTCTCTTGGAAAGAACAGGGCAGGTTGTGTGGGAAAGTGGCCCATGGATGCTGGCTCTGGAGCCAATGCAAAATTCCCCCAAAAAGTATTATGCAGAGGAAACTAAGGCCAGATTCAGGGACAAGAGTCCAAATTGTATTCCTCATCCAAGGGCAGCCGGATAGAAAAGACTAGTCTGAATTCCGAGCCAAGCATCTTGGAGAAGCCAGGATCGAATACATGCGAGCTCTCCAGGCATTGATGGGAGCACAAAGGATGCCCCTCCTCACCACAAATGACCTCATCACATCCCAGTTTCTGGGGGTGGGGGCGGCTCCCACACCCTCCCAGCTCCCTGGCCCCTGTGTTGGCCCCGGGGTTGGATGATCAGGTGGAAGTTGGCAGTGCTTAACGCAGGGAGAGTTGGGGAGCAGAGAAAGAGAAAAGCTTCCTCTGCTGCTGGTGCCGTGTCATCCCAGGACAGTCCGGCCCCTGCTGAAAGGAATCTGAATCACACTTCTAGGGAGTGGAGCCTTCAGGGCAAGGTCAGGGTTTCTAAGCACCTGAGACTTGCTGGCCTGTCTGCTGGGCCGGTAGTTAAACCACTGAATGGCTTGATTTTGTGTTGATGGTGCCCCTTGCCCAGACCTGACCCAGGCATCACTGTGCCACACAGAACTCTTGGAGCCATGCCTTTCAACTTCTATGTGGTATGCCCCGACTGGTCAGCATGGACATAAATCCAGACCACAAACCAAGAAGGACTAACCAAACCCAGGTAGAGGCTGGTTGGGCAGCTATATCAATAGTTAGCATCTTTCCAGTGTCTAACTTACGGAAGCATGAATGTTTAAAGGTTTTAAATATTTAACAATGTATTTAAAGGTTTTTCAAACAATATTTCTTTGACAATAGCAGCAAAACTGTGTTCACATTCCAAATCCAAATTGAAAATTAGGAGTACCTTATGCAAACAATTCCAGTCCACAACACTTTGTCCTAAAAAAACCCAATAGGGAAGGGAGTTGGCTCTTGAACTGTTTCACTCCAGTATATGTTTCATATGTAGACACAGCTGTGGTATAAGATGTAGTTTTCATTTTCATTATTATTCTCAAGAACTTAAGAAGCACCATATAAATGAAGTGTCACTACTCTTAGTATTATTATATTAGAGTGAAAATTGCAATTTAGCAGTTAGACCTGTGCACACTCGCCTTCGAAGTAACGCATTGGCGATTCTTGTGTTTTATTCATCACCGTTCCTCCTTGCAAACCTCAGAGAATCTTCAGCTTCAGCAAATCTCCACGGTGCGTTTGGGAGCATTAGTCAGGAGACTAATACAGCCTGAGAGAACATGTCTTTGAAGTGAGGGATGGAGCCTGCCGAATCATTTCAGCTGCCCTCATCCCATCAACCGCCTCCTGCCGTGCCCGCATCGCAGGCCGGGGAGGGACCTGGTTTCCACTTAGAGAGAGGCACACCGTGTGTACTTTTCTTATTGGGCGCTTAACTTCTGTCTCATTTCTCAGGAATGGAGAAAGATCACCTGTCAGCAAGCCTGAGGCCAACTGCTGACAGATTTTTCCCTAATAGGCTGCCCTGTGTTTCCCTCCTCCCAGGCAGACCAGCCTAGTGAAACCCTGGCGTTCTGATAAATAGCTGTGTGGCCTTGGGCAGCCATTTAACCTCAGTTTCCTCATCTGTAAAGTGGCCTGTTGGGTCCTTTCCAGCTCTAAAATGGTCTGGCTCTCAAATCTTCTTCCACAAATCACCTGGCGTGGTGCCTTCTGACCATTGCACCTCAGCATTCTGGAGAAGGTGCCCTCCCTGTGGACAAAAACGCCAGGATGGAAACGCACAGGATGATTTGTGTGAGCAGAGAGCACACGCAGGGTGGTGAGTTAGGGACTCTGTGAAGTATGTTGCATGTCGAATTTAGGACTTTGGACTTCATTCCCCAGGTCCTAAGGAGCCTTTGCCAGTTTAGAGCGGTGGTGGTGGGGAGGCTGTATTCGACACTTTATTAAATGATTTCTGGACCAGCATTGAGAAGAACTGATAGTAGCAAGGGGCAGAGACTCTAAACAGGGAAATTGGCAGGAAGCCAGGACTAGGGGGCAGCATTTTTATTAATATAATCGCGGATATGTACCGAGCCTTTGCTGTGTGCACACACAGTGCTCAGTCTGTCCTGTGAATTATCTCAATCCATCCTCCCTACAACCTTAATGAGTTGGAAGCTATAATTATCCCCATTTATAAAACATGGACACCAAGACTCAGGGTAGTTGAACAACTTACCCCAGCATTATACAGCTGGTAAGGGGACAGTTGGGGATTTGAACAGGAAGATTTTGCATTCTTCACTGCTGTTATCACAGGACAGACGTAAGAGGCTTCCAGGATAGGGTCATGAAACTTGCTCCTGGCTGTCAATGACGAATGGGGGTGGATGCTCTGTGAAGTGCTTACTGAGTGCCTGGGACTGAGCCTTCTAGAGATTATCTCATTTCATCTTCCCCATAACTCCATGAATAGAAGCCCCAACCTCACACTGAGGCAGCTGCAAAGCATTTGAACTCAGGACATGAAAGAACCGGAAGGCTTTTCCTGAGACTTTTCTAATGTATCCCAAATTGCCGGGTTCTTGGCTTTCTCTCTACCCAGGCTGATTTAAAGATGACACCAAACATGTTTTCTGTCATGTACTCATGACTTAAATATTTTAAAAGATGTGTTAGGCAGGAAGGAAGCTGTGATTCCATGATCCATGTTCTCTCTTGACATTTTGGTTCCCGTCCAGCCCTGGCATAGCTGAAGGGAAGATGCCACTGAGAGTGTCACATCAGAACATTTACTTGATACTCAGGGTTCACAGTGTGTTTCTAGGAGGTGTTGAGAGAAGACACGTAAGCCCACCAGTGGGCCTGCTCCGCTTTCTGATAGCAAAGGTGGGAGAAGATAGCAAAGTCAAATTGCAGCTGCCATCATGCATATTAATAAGGACCCAGGTTTCTGAGAGATAAAAGAAGCATCTACACAGGATTTGAAGAGGACTCGAAGAGGCATCAGAGCTGACACTCCAAACTAGGACGGGAAGACAAATGCAATCACAACACCAACCTGGCAAAATCTTGTTCGAAGAGATGAAGTCCACAGGGTCTCTGTGTTTTGTATTTCTTTATCTGCTCTCATATCCTTGGAGCATTCTCATCTGTATTCCCCTTGACCCATCTTTTTTTCTCATCCCTAATTTGTTCATCACCTCACCTTTGGACAAGAGGGAACGCGCTTCCTTTGTCTGGATTTGTTTCCTCTTATGTAGAGTAAGAAGGGTCCGACGGAAAATTGCCTCCCACACAGGAGGGATCTGGGAGACCAGCTTAGATCTGTTTAAGTCACTCTACTCGACCCAGAGAATACTTGTATTTTTATCTGAACCCAGCCCCTGGACTGCAGATTTTCACTGGGACAATTAATATCAAATGGGTGGAGGGTTCTTGGGGACTCAGAACATAGTTCTCAGCTTTGGCAAAGAGCCTCCAAAACCTGTCTGCTGACTCATTTAAAGCAATGGTTCTAAAAAAAAAATGAAGTAAGAAAAACTTTATGGGCAAGAATATGAATTAATTTCATGGAAATAGTATCCCTTTTCAAAGATTGCCTGTCTTTGCTTAATGTTGAAAATGTTGATACTACCTCTGGTATTGTTTCCCCTGTTTTTACATTTGAATGGGAAACGATTCGATGAATATTTCTTCTGAAGATGGTTTTCTTTCTCTGAGGAAGCTACATTGGTCATATTGGCTTGGTCCACTGATCATGCCTCCCTGGGAGGGGCCTATTTGGATGGAAAAGAGAGCTGTTTTGGAAACAGTAACTTTACCTGCTTTGGTGTGCCTCCTTTCAGGGCTCTGGTGGGCTTGCTACAGGGGAGCGTTGAGAATGCTGCTCACATGCTCTCGAATGTGAGAAGTGGTGCTAATACGACTTTAATTTTCATATCAAATTGAACAAGAAATGAGTTTGTCGGAAATAATCATGACTCTTGCAGCGGTGCCAGGTTGGCTAGTTACTGAGGTGTGACCGCTCCTCCGTGTGTGTCGTCAGGCGGCGTGTAGATGACGGTCATCCAGCTTGCTGGACCCAGCTCCACTCTCGGGGGACCTCCTCGGGACCATTCCTGGCAGTGGCTGCTCCAGCTAGGAGTATCCCCTCATCTCCCACTATACTTGTCTCCCCCTCAGCCTTATCCCCAGTGCCCTGGTGCGTCTCTTACAAAAAACAAGACAAGACAAAGCAACCCTTGATGTTCAATCTCTGTGACGTTCATGGTGTTGGTTTAGTTGCTAAGTAATGTTCAACTCTTGAATCCCTGATGCTTCACCTTGAATAAAGACACTATGATGGGACGCTGTGCTGACAAAGGTGAGCCTGGGGGTGCCGTGCAGTTCGGGAAAGAACTGGGAAGACTCCTGTCACTCATTGCATTAAACGTGTAGAGACAGGTTTTAAATATTTTATCTGTGGGGTAACAAATCTTCTGGCTTCATATATCGTAGATTAACTTTTGAATGTTGTTTCTCCAGAGCACTCAATAATTTTTGCAGCATCCAGGACACTGCTAATACTTCTGAGTTTCTACAGTCAATGTAGGTTCCTCCTCTTTTGG